AGGTTCTGCTCACAGGCTGTGTCTGCTCCTCCCCAGGGCTGGCTGCCCAAGACCATCATCAACCAGGTCCTGTCCCAGACACAGGTGGACTTCGCCAAACACCTCCGGCAGCGCCTGGCCCAGCCGGTGCCTGTGACCTGCTGACCACCCCGTGCAGGGCTTCCCTCAGGGGCAAAGTACGGAACCCTGTCACTCCAATTCACCTTGAACAGCAGACTCCACTAATTAATGCACAGTTACAAACAGTAAATATAAAGGTTTATTTATTGAAGCTCATTGTGTAAGTGCAGGACAAATTTAATTCCTGCAGTCGCTTAACTGAGCATGTGCTGGCCCAGTCAAGCCAACTCCACCCTCCCTAATTACTTTCAACGAATAAATAAAGCTATAATTAGTGCTGTCTACATTTAAAGCTCTGGACTAATTAGTTATTAGGGAGACAGCTGGGAAGGTACATCCTCAGTGAGGCAGACACAGGCCTGACTGAACCTCAAATTTTACTCTCCCAAAACTCAAACATAGCACTTATTTTTGTTTTCTCTTCCCCTCAAAGCAGCTCTAATTTATTTTTTCCTGTACCAACACATAAGAAGTGTCAAATTATTTATTCACCCCAAGCTCTGCAATGATGATCATTAGCAGGAGGCCCCATTAACTCCTGTGCACTCCAGAGATCTCCACGTGTAGCTACTTTGAGTACAAATGTCACCTGTAACAATTTACAAGACAAAAACAAGAATAAAAAGAAGAGTTAAAGCCTTTATTTTTAAAGTGGTTTCCAGTCCGTGGGGAAAAAAAATACAGTTTGGACAGAAGCCCAAATTTCAGTCTAACATGCAGCCATGTCGTTCCAACAGAGCCGTCCTGGCTGGGAGCTGCTGGTCACCATCAGCCAAACACACCTGAGCACAGGGGTCACTGTACCCACACCTGGCAGCTGCAGCTACACCCTGACCTGTTACACCCCCTTCTCCAGCCAGTGACAGTCTGATGGTACTGGGGGCTCCCAGAAAGGCCCCACACGAGCACCAAACACCCCAGAACTGCCTGGCAGGGGCAGTGGGGAGCTGCGAACACACACACACAAACACCTGCCAGCCAGGGCTGCATCCACCGCGGCCTGTCGGGTCCTTGGCTGGTCTCTGAGAGAGATGGATGCTCCTCTGCAGTAAATCCACAGTGGTGGGTGTTTATGGCTCCCAGGGTGGGCTCCTCCTGCCATCCACCTCTGTCTCCACGTGGTACAGGACATCGGCCAGCGTGTGCTCCACCACGGCCCCCCAGCCCATGTCACTCATCTGCGGAGGGAAGCAGAGTTAGCTCCACTTCTGGAAAATTCCAGGACATTCCAGGGCTGTTTCCCTCCTCAAAACAGTAGGGGCAGGGGGGGGGAATTCAAGTGTTTCCTTGAACAACAACTCAGTTCCCTTACTGACAAACAAGGCCAACACAGGCAACAATCTGTCAAGAGGAACAAGGTAACAGCACCTATTATTTCATTAAAATTTAATGATTTATGCGGGTATCTGTCCTTACATATTTTTAAACACAATCCTTTTGGCTACACTATCCAGGTACTGAGACTGAAGGACAGTTAGAGGTGTGGTATGAATCATCCCAAAATATCTCTGATTTAAACAATGAGGCTCTCAGATGTGGGGAGAAGCTTCGGTTTTACTTACAGGATGGTAAGTGATGTCTCTCGGTGGATACTTGAAATATGGCCCAAAGTTTATAGAAACCTGTGGAATGTACATTTTCATTAAATCTACAAATCCAGGAAAATTTCTCTAGTGCTCTGTCCTCATCCCTTCCTACTCCTGAGCCTCCCCACACCCTGTGCAAGCCCACAGGAACAAACACTGCTGATGTTACTTTAGCAATTTGATAATCTCATTACACGTGTGAACAGCAACATTGTTCCAGAGCCACTAAAGTGATTCCCATCTTTCCTTTTCACTTGGCACACTCCTGGAGTGCCCACACTTTGTGCATTACTGAAACTGGTGGATTTAGGAATTCCCTTTCAGAGACCCCTCACTTACTGTGCAGCCTTTGTATAGAGAAATGGCAGGAAAATAAACTCCCTCAAAGATGTCCTTGAAGGCAACTCCCTGGCTGACACCATTCTTGAAGAATATGATCTGAAAAATGAAGGGTTTTCCCATTGATGGTGGTTGTGAGGACACTGCAACCCTGACAGAATTAGTCCCTGCTCCCTTTCACTCAGGCCAGGCACATGCTGAAGTGACAGCAACAACTCACCTGGCTTCCAGGGGCTTGCTTTAGGCTCTTCTCTGCTTTGTCCACAAAATCCTTCTCTTCAAAGTACAAGTAGCTTTTGAATTTGATCAAAGCCTGAAACAACATCAGCAGCAAACATCAAGAACAAGCCTGGAAAACTGTTACCTGTCACCTGCCCTGCTCAGGGCCAGGCATGCCTGGTGTCAGAGTACCTGTGAGGAGTGACTCCCACAGCTCAGAGATTTGAGAGCCAGGAGGGGAAGGTGAAAGGAGATGTGGGCAATCCCATCCAGGAGAATTTTGCTTTCTTTGCTTTCTTTGCTTTCTGAGATCAACACTTTGGGCCTCTCCCCCACGAACCACAGAGGTACTGAGAGGCAGGATGGGAAGGATGCACGGAAAGGGGCACGAGTGAGGCCACAGCCACTCATTTTCCTGTTTTCCACCTGCCAATGCTTAATCCAACAGTGAATGTGCACCTCACCTTGTCTTTGTAGGTGTCAGGCAGGGATCTGGCTGTCTCAGTATCCTCTGGAAGGCTGATGTAAAATCCCAGGACATCTCCCTGTCCATAGCCAGAGGAATAGTGTTTCCCTATGGACTGGTGGAACTTGGTTCCCTTTTTGCTGCGCCAGGAGTAACTGAACTTGTCGTACCCCAGAGGGGCTTGGAGGTTCCCTGTGGAAACAAACGTTTCATGGTGAACACAGGCAGTGTAGCAGCAGCAGCTACTGAGAAGTGTTTTGTAGAATGATTTACCCAAGGGCTGTGACCAGCCTAATCTGGCAGCCGTGTCTGGAGGCATCTCATCCATGGAGATTTCGAAGTACCAGGCTCCCTTCCGCACACCGTGCGAGGCTCGCACCATGGAATAGCCCTTCTCACCAACAACAGTCAGTCTGTCATCAGAGATCTTCAGCTGGGGAGCTGCAGGGGAGCACACGAGCACTCATTTGTGATTTTTAACGTGGTGGTGTCAAAAGGCAAGTGAACACACAGAGGTGGACTGAACCTCTGCACCTCTGAGAGCAGCTCTGCCTGGTAATGAGAGGTCACCGAGACGCCTCTGTGAGGAAACACGACCTGCACAGATTAACGGGCTCTGTACCTCGGTCATGCAGCGCCAGGAGGACTCGTTCATACAGGCAGGCTCTGTACAGATCCCCAGGAATCGGTTTTCCTGCCCAACAGTCCAGCTCCAGCTTCTCTGGGTCAGGTGCATGGGGGTCAGGCTCGGCCAGGATGTAGCGATAGCCGTCCTTGTTGAAGGGGTGCTCCAGAGGGTACCCATGAGGGGGCAGGCGCTGAGCCGAGAACAACGGGTCACTGAAACACAGAAACCCCATGCTGGCATCTCCAGCTGCTGTCACATGCCAGCCCAGGACACCCCCTTGCAGAGCTGTCCCTGTGCTTAGGGGACACAAACTCGTGTCTGCGTGAAACGAGCACAATCATCCACTGGAAATCATTTATAGCTTGTGACTTGTGTGTCATCAGTTACATCACAGGGCTCTGGAGTGACCCCCAGACACCCACCCAGGGCAGAGACAGCTGGGAGGCAGCTCAGGGCATCTGAGTGCTGCTGTCCCTGACTGGTACCCATCCCCGCACCCATCCCTGCACCCACCCCTGTCCCCATCCCCTCACCCATCCCCGCACCCATCCCTGTG